GTGTCTCCCACCCCCCATCCCACCTCTTACAGCAAACCAGGCGAGGCGGTGCGAAGAGCCCTCCGCCCGGCGAGCTGATCGCGAGCTGTTTTATCTAATAAATACCTCGCCCCCCAGCTCCGAGCTGTGGCTTCACTCGCATGGAAATAAACCCCTCCAAGCACATCCCTCTGCGCCGGGCAGGCAAGGGTCCCCCTCCCACCCCCGGTTGTGGGTGTCTGGTTGCTGTCTCTCAGCGGATCCAATAGATTCAGCCCCCTCCAGCCCTCGCTGCCCCTTCCCAGAGCTGGAGTCGAGGGGAAGAAAGAAAGAAAAAAAAAAAAAAAGGAAACAATACAAAAGAGACAGGGGAGAGAGCTGGAAGGGAACCGAGGGGTAAACTCAGCCCCGTTGATCATTTCTCTGTGCAAGAGAGAAATCACGTCTCATCTCTCGCCAGATCCTTTAGCACCGTATGCCAGGGTTAGAAAACTCTGCCCGGTGGTTTATTCTGCCCACGTTTTGGTCGTGATCGACAGCCACTACAACAATAGTCCATGATTTCCCCCCTCCCAGGGCAGGAGAGTCGGAAGTGTTTGTACCGCTGCCTGCTTGGGATGATTGAGACGTGCACAATTTTAGAGAAAAAAAAATCCTATAGATATAAACCTAGTACTGCTGTCCCAAGACCCTTATTGTGCCGGGGTCGGAAGCGGAGCCTGCAAATAAGTCGTGATCTGGGGGGTTGTTTTTTTTTCTTCTGTGCGTTGCGAAGTGAGGGTAGGGGTCGGTTTCAGAAGGTGCAAGTCAATGCGGTTTGTAAAGCAAATCGATGCATCGCCCATGACCGTTGTACCCGCTCCCGAGTTACTTCTTCATTTAACGAAATAGGGCGCCAGTGGTGGAAGAAGAGAGGTTCTGAATAACGAATACAGGACTACTCCTACTGCCATTCATTTCAAATGATAAACTTGAAAATGACTCCTCTGCATCCGAGGGCTAGGGAGCTGTACACAAATGAACGATCGCATCAATGAATTAAGTGATCCATTGATGCCCTCAAAATAGACCTTTGCTGTAATCTGTTGTATTAGTTTCAGGTGGAAAAATCCCAACGAACGGATCCTAGTCATAAACCCGAGATAGAGAGCAGAGTGGCCATCCTTAGCAGCATGGTATGTCTGGCTGAGTCGGTTTTCTGGTATAGAGATTTTCAGTTGCTGAATCACAGATATTTCTTTTTCCCCGGATAAAAAAAAAAAAAAAAAAAGCTATTCTCCGCAAAGAAGCTGCACATAGTTTGGGAAACGAGGAAATCTAGATCGTGAGATTCAAGAAGCCGGGAACGGGGAGGGAGGTAAGGCTGGACGTGGCAAGAAGAGGGCTGTGATGTTAGAGCCAAGAGCAGAGAGAGGGAGAGGTGAAGCTGTGACTAGGTATAAATATCAACAGCCAGCGGCTGCAAAACACTTCACCCCTAGGTCTGAGCTGAGCAGAACCGACAGCCAGCTGTTTGGATCCACCTGTGGGCTTTAATCAGCCCAAATAGTATTCCTTCACTGTGTCTCTGTGGGGTTCTCTTTCTTTCACCTTAATAAAAAGGGTGGAAGTAAAGGCTGCAAACACACACACACACTGAAGTTTTTATGAAACTGTTAAGAGCAAGTCCTCCCTGTCTGAAAATGATTTGCCATGGTTGAAACCAGGGCTTGGGGATCCTTCGCACAATTCTTAAAAAAAAGAAGAAAAAAAGAGGAAGCTGGATTGCTTTGCTCCTCCAATGTACACAGTTGTTAACGCGGCCAACCTGTTTCGTTTCTGTCGCCCAGCCATAAAACACATCCCAAATGTTGCTCTTTCATCCAGAGGCCAGCTTGAACATGACAATAAACAAATAAATAAGTCATCTAAAACTCAGCTCTGTCGCATAGCTGAGTATACTAAACACCAATACAAATTACTTTTTTTTCCCTGGGTTGCATCCAGACTGGAAAAGCAGACGGAAAACGGATCTTTTTACTTCTGAAAAACGTTCCCCCCCCCCCCCGAAATACTGTTTGCACATGCCAGTTACTAGTCTGACAATGGCAACTTTTGTACCTTGACGAGAGAAACCAGAGTCTTACTGCTTGCAGATCTGTAATTTAACACACGCTAAGCATTGCATCACTTCGCAGCAAGAGAAGACAGAGAGATAAGTGTTATTGCAAAATATATTAGATGCAATATATTTCGGTTTAAAAACAAAAAAACAAAAAACAAAGCGCCTCAGTGTTTCTGCTCAATTCAAGTTAGAAATAGCGTGAAAAAACTTGAGCGGTGTCCTGGTAAAATGGTAAGCTATTTCAAGTTAGGTTATTTAAATAGAAAAGAACAATGCTTAGTGGAAATGAATGTGAGATATATGGAAATCGTTTTAATTGCACTTAAAAACCGTGGGAAAAAAACTGGTTGATCTGAGCTGGGAAACGTAAAGTCTTTTTCTTTCTGTCTTTCTTTCTTAGCAAAACAGAGGTGGGGGGAGGGGGGAGTTAAGACACAACGTGTTGAAATTACATCTAACATAATATATAGAGCACTGCCTCAAAGTTCAGTATTTGGGGGAAAGTATGTAATTAAACAAGAACAGGTGAAATGCAGAAGAGTAAATGCTAACAGGGACACTGTATTTATTACAAGGCGAGTATTTAGTACAGAAGTGGAACCGGAATGTCTGAGTCTTACAATATATAAGCGATTTCCTTTCCCACTACTTCCAACCTCCCCCCACCGCCGCCCCCTTCCCCTTCGCCTTTCTTGTTTAATATTTTGGATGACCGGTAGATTAGTTATTCAAAAGAAAAGGCAGGATTGTTAAAACACTGCCGGGGAAATCATGTTCACATTGTTTCTACGCGGTGTGGTTTCCAGAGCAAGCAAACATAGTAAAAAGTGAGGGAAGGGGTATTGAAATCAGGGCAGCCAAAAGGGGCTTCTGACACATCTTCGGAGTGAAAGTTTGTTACAAACCCTGGGGTGCGTGGGTGTGAAACTCATCTCACACGGACACACGGGCGCGATGCAGACACCGCCACTTCATCATGGTCCTACCAAGTAATGAGATTTTAGAGGCAAGGATTAGTGGGCTAAAAAAAAAAGGAAAAAGAAGAGAAGAAGGTGGCGGGTTGGATTTAAAATCTCATGGCATTGTCAAATATGTTTAAAACACGAACAACTCTTCATTCCCATTCACGATTTTTAAAGGGACAAACCCAGAGTTTTGGTGCCTGATGCAGATTCACGCGGTTAAAAAAAGGAGACGACTTGTTTTCTCCCTCGGTGTTTCCCCTCAGCTCATTGCTTGATTCCTGTTCAGATGTGCATCTAAACAGGTCATTAGAGCCCAGATTCTATTTCTGACAGGCAAACAGGAGGTGGCATGAACAAAAATCAAGTCCTGCCAGTTGTGCCCTTTAACGGTTTGGGACCTCATTTTCCCCATGTCCACACCCCTGTTTGGCCACTATGTGAAATCTTTTGCAGACCGATGTTCTCTCCCACCCTCATCAGAAATGATGAAGCATCGCATCCCCCAGCATATCTGTAAGGAGCACCCGAGCAAGCCAGTTAAAAGACGAGTCGAAAGCAATCTGCCCGGCTTCTTAAAAACAGAGGCAGCGGGCACTTGCTTTGCAGACTGGGAGAGGAAAGCCCTGGGTGGCTGATGAATAAAACGCTGGTCAAATGGAAGAAAGGCTCCTCTTCAGGGGCGTTTGGTCCGGCAGCTGGCTGGAAGGAGCGTGGTGCTGGGGAGGAAGGGGGGCCTGTCACCCTCCTCCTCCCACCAGCCCATACAAACGTGTCCCCCTTCCTGGCTCGTGAGAAGAGTGGCTTGGGGCTGTGAGAGCCTCTCCTCTGCAGGGGGCAGGGAGGGAGCTGAGCACTTGTGCGTGCAAGTTGTCCAGGCAACACACGGCTCTGTGGATGCAAGTTGTGCGTGCAAGTTCTCGAGGTACACATGGCTCTGTGGTGTGTCAGTGTGGGCACGGCACAGAGGGAAAAGTGTGTGTGTGTGTGTGTGTGTGTGTGTGTGGAGGAGAATGACCACGAGTGTCTTTGAGGAGGGGAGCAGGGTTTTCTTGGGGTGGTATCTTTTCTAGGATCCACTAGGTAGTTGGTGTCAAATTAGCCAAGGCTGCAGGAGAGGACGAGGGTTTTGTGCGTGTGGGAAAATACCTCTGTGTGTGTCTTTGCGGGGGAGTGTGCGTGGGTGTGTCCAGGAATGTGTGTGGAGGTTGGTGGGAAAAGGCTGCGTCCTCCGAGGCAACGCGGCTGCCCACAGGGGCCACCAGGCAAATCTGCTGCGGGGAGGGGTGGGGGGCGAGGCTGTCCCACGCCTGAGTGTGCCTGTGTGTGTGTTTGTGTGTGTCTTCGCATCCAAGCATCTGCAGTCGGTGCACTGGAATGTGTGTGTATAGCAGCTGCCCTCCGTGTGCCTGTGTGTGCGTTTGTGTACACGTCCGAACATGTGCAAGGGGTGTTCAAGAATGTGTGTGAGTGTAAATAGTAATATGAGTTTCCTTCCGTGTGCCTCTGTGTGTGTGCGCGCGTATACACGTCCAAAAGTGTGCAAAGGATGTACTGGAATATGTGTGCGAGTGTGTGTGTGCACATTCGAACATGTGCAAGGGAGTGTACAGGAATGGGTGTGTGAGTGTAAATAGTAATATGAGTTGCCCTCCGCTTGCCTCTGTGTGTGTGTGTGTGTGTGTGTGTGTGTACACGTCCGAACGTGTGCAATGGATGTCCTGGAGAGAGAGAGAGAGAGAGAGAGAGTGTGTGTGTGTGTGTGTGTGTAGTAATCCGTGTGCCTGTGCGTGTGTGCGTGGAGGAGCAGGGAGCCGCGCGTGGGCTCGCGTGTGTGGCCAGTCCTGGGACCGCAGGTCCCCGCGGAGCCGCCGCCGCTGCAGGTTTCCTCTCTTCCTCCATTCAGTCCCCGGCGCTGCCTCCCCATTGGGCGCCGGGCCGGGGCGGGGCGGGGCGTCGGAGCCTGAGGAGAGGGAGAGGGGGAGAAAAAAAGGCGAGCTGTAAGTGCGTAAAAAAGTTCCTGCCTCGGTGACGGATGCTCAAAAGTTCAGAAGTTTTTTCCAATGCTTCCCCGAGCACCCTGCGACTGAGAGAGAGACTGAAAAGAGCGAGGGGGAGAGAGAGAGAGGGAGAGAGAGAGAGAGAGGGAATTTTCCCGGGGAGATCAGGAAGGTGGATATTATTTTTTTTCTTCTCCCTTAAAAAAAGAAAAAAGCAAGCACCCACCCCTTTTGCTTTTGTCCCCTCCTTTGCAGACAGCTCGTGGCAGATCCCCGCGGAACCGGGCGCTGGGAGTGCGGGAGCCTCCTCGCCCAGGCGCTGTTTTGTTTGGTGCGGTGTTTTTTGTTTTTGTTTTGTTTTTGCTGCGTTTTGTGTTTTTTATTGTTGTTTTTTCTCCTCTCCGCTGCGTGCATCTCTCTCCAGACCGAGCCGCCGCTCTTTATGATCCTTGCGATTGTGATTTCTATCCCTCTGCTTTTTGATCGCTGCGCCTGG